CTACTATAATTTCAGTTAGTTTGTTAGTTTTGTAAAAAGATTATACAGTTTTAGTTATCGTTTCTTAATTTTATTATAGCTTTTATTTATTTTAGTTAACCAAAATGTTTTTTCAATTTCAGTTTTTGTTATTTAGTTAGTTTTAGTTAACTATAATAACCCTGCTGTGAGATTATAAACACAGGTAAAAACCAGCCCACTGATCTGAAGTGTGTACTATGATTTTGTTGTATAAAGTGTTCTTGTACTCACTCCCTGCTGGAACTCTGGGTGCACTCCGTCAGATGGAGGTAGACGAGCCGGTGCTTTTGCCAAGGTTGGCCCGGGTCGCTGTGTGTGGTGGTACCCATGGGAACGAGCTGTCTGGAGTGTACCTGGTTAGAGAGCTGCTGAAGGAAGCGCAGGAGAAAGAACGGGACGATGAAGGGCCTCTGTCGGTGCAGACGTTGCTGTCCAACCCRCGGGCCACTCAGCAGTGTCGCAGATACATCGACGCCGATCTGAACCGCTGCTTCTCCCTCGCCACCCTCAAGTAAGGCGATGAGAGGAGGTGATGCTGCTCGTGCTCACAAATCTACTCATGGTGAATTTTGTCTCCCAGTGGTCCTGTGTCAGAGGCAGCTCCCTACGAGATCATCCTGGCCCGAGAACTGAACGCCTCGCTGGGTCCAAAGGGCAGTCAGGAGGCAGTGGATCTTGTTTGTGATCTCCACAACACCACCGCAAACATGGGCCTGTGTTTCATTGCCTATTCTGACAAAGACTGGATCTGCCTTCACATATTTAAACACCTGCAGGTAAATAAAGCTGTCACATATAACACGCAATCTCATAGAAGAATCAATATATTTGAAAAGTTGCAACAAAAACAGTAGTATTTCGCTAATAAACTTGTTTCTTTGTTGTGACAATGCTTTTCGGCAATAAATCTTATACCGTTGGAAAGTTTTTTAATTTCTCTTTAAAATGGAGCCACATTTGTAAGGAACATGCATTTGTGGGATGAGCAGTAGATCTGAGTATGTGGGTTGCACACATGAAAAACTGCCAAATCTTCTTTGCCGAACAGACTTTTTTGCTGTACTGACTTGTTTTGAGCTTCTGGTACCTCCAGGTGCMCGCTATAAGATTTATTGCCAAGAAGCWTTGTTACAACAAAGAAATAATCTACCAAACACAAATTTCCTTACTTTTTGTGCTAAGCTTGTATTATTTTGGATATTTTAGACTACAGTCATGATTATGTAAAACCTTAGTAGTATTTCAAYGGGGTGTACCTGTTGAAGTTTCCCGTGACAGAATAATGTTAGAGTTTGTATGTCTAGGAAGTGACGCACAGGAAGCACACATATGG